TGTTGAGAAACTTGATTTTAAATATTTTAAGACTATTTGGTGAGAAATATATTTTTGTCCCTAATAAATCTTAATATTTTGAGACTTTTTAGTGAGGAAATTATTTTGTCACTAATTTTGGAGGAAAAATTTTCACATATTGGGCGGTAATGGAAAAAAATAGACTACTAACTTTTTTTCTCTCTTTTATTTTTGTTTATCAGTTTTCCTTTCCCCTCTCCTCCTCCTTTCTCTCTCTCTCTCTCTCTCTCTCTCTCTCTCTCTCTCTCTCTCTAAACAAAACACAAGTTAATTAGCTTTCTAAGGAACCTATGGTGACGAAAAATAGTGAAGAAAATAAATTTTGTCACTAAATAAAAATAATTCGTGACGAATTATAAAATTGTCACATATAATAAAAAAGTAAAATAATAGGTGACGAAATTTATTTTCGTCAATAAATATTTCTTTTTAGGTAAGGAAAATTTAAATTTCATCACCAAAGGTTTTCCCTCTAATTTTTTTGGGTGGCGCCAAAATTTTGAGACTTTTAGTGAGAAAAAAAATCTGTCACCAATTATAAAATTATTAGGGATTTCGTCACCAATAATTTTAAATATTTTTTTAAAAAAAAATTATTTTTAAATATTTTGAAACTATTTGATGAGAAATATATTTTTATCGTCAATAATTTTAATATTTTAAAATTTTTAATGACAAATTATTTTATCACAAATTTTGAAGAGAGAACTTTGAGATTTTGACGGTAATAAAAAAAAAAACCTATTAATTCCCCCTAAATCCTTTTTTGTTTTTGGTGCTTTAGTTTTTCTCTCATCCCTCTCTTGCAAAACAAACATTCTTTGTGTTCAGCCCCCGTTAGCTTGTTCTTCTCCTTTAGCGCTGCCACCGACATCACCCGTTCTCCTCCTTCAATGTTGCCACAAGTAGAATTGGTTAGCGAATATGCCGACCAGGTAGACCCGTCTGACCCGACATGTTTTGGGTGGACGCGTGACACAAGCAAATATGGATCCCAAATTTTTAATTTCGCGCCAATTTCAATCTCTTACCCACCCACCCCCCTCCCTTTTTCTTTTTTCCTCCACCTATTTCCCCCCTTTTTCCCTCTGTCTCACCCCCTATTTTTCATTTCACGTTTTTCTTGCCCTAGCTTCATCCTTCGACGACTCTCTCTCTCTCACCTCTGTCTCTCTCACTTAAACAGCGGCGAGCAACGATCGGAGATCGGCGAAAGTGGCAGTGAGTAGCAATCGAAGCCTCGATTGGAAGGTATTCTTCTCTTCTCTTCTTCTCTTTTCCTCTTCTTCTTCTCTTCTGAACCTGTGTTCTGTGTTCTCAACCTTCTCTTCTTCTCCTATTCTTCTCTTCTGAACGTGCGTGTGGGTACGCGATTGATAAAACTATTTGTAAGCTAATTGATAAAACTAGCAATTGAAAGCAATTGATAAACCTATTTTTAAATTCGGGTTTTGCAGATTTTAGTTCTAGTTCTTCTGTCATTGATTTGGGGTTTTTGCAAATTAAGCTAATCTTCTTTCTTCTATTTTATTGTTTGATGATGGTGGTGATGATTTATGGGTTTTTCATTTGTTAATTTGTTGGTATAAGAACTGTGATTTTGAATTTTCTGGGTTATTTGTGTGAATTGCTGGTTGTTCAAGTAAAGTTTTTTGTCAAATGCAATATACTTGTTTTTTTGGGATTAATAGGAGTTAACACTTTTTTTTTCTTTTTTTTTTCTTTTTTTTTGTATGTGTGTGTTTTGTTTCCAACCTGATAATTAAAAAGTTAATGACTTGATGTCAATGAGAACATAGAAATTTGTTACTAAGAAACTGTGCATATATCATTGTCAACAACTTGTAATTAAACTTCAGATTTGTTGTCAACTTGTGATTTAACTTCAGATTACAATGTGAATGTTAGAAACACAAAACTCAACATAATTTCAAATATAAATAATTTCATAAATTTTGGGCCTGAATTAAAACAGTGAAGATTTACTTGAAAATTAAGTCAACAAATGGCCCAAAATAGTTTAAATTAGAAAAGATTAACTAGCTCCTCAAATCCTAGAATTAGAACCTTTTAAGTGATTATATAATAGGATTTCGCATACCCACTGGTTGTTTGATGAAATGTTTCAAACTAATAATAATGAACAGAATACAGAATGCAGGAACAATTGTTTAATGAAATCTATTTGATGAACAGAATACATATGCAAGTGTTTTTATTTTGGTTAGAACTTATGTGTGAGGTGGGAATAAGAATTATGTATGCAAGTGAAGAATTATTTTGACTGGGAATAAGAATTATTTATTTTACATATTTATGTGTGAGTTTTTGGTTAGAACTTTTCTGGTTCTGTAATGGAGTTGAAAACAGGAGACTAAACTTCCTAATGCCTTGTAACTCGTAATGCCTCGTGATGCCTCGTCAACTCGTAATGCCTTGATATTTTTATTTTTCTACAATTCTGTTGCTAGGATATTTGATCATGCACTGGAAGACTCAAATTCAAAATCGGGCATTGTCCACTCTTTATCTATATGTATATCTTCGTTGGATCCAAAAAGATCAATTCCTTCCGAAGTCAACACATGTACGAGTCACCTACACCTGTTAATCCTGAGACCGTTGGTGCAATGCTGCCCAAGCTTGGTAAGTGTGTCATAAAATTTGTGTATGCTTGCTTGTGATGTCAAGGTTTCTCTCTACCTTATGCTAAATTTGTTTCTCTACCCACTTCAAATACTTAGAATATGAATTTATGGCTATAACTTGTGCACAGATTGGATGTTTATGTACTTGTCTTAAATGGGAAACTTTTTTCCCTTTCTTTGTTCTGAAACTAATATTTCTGAGTTTCTTTTCTTTGGTTTGAGGTTACTTTCCTTTGTTCTATGTAATATCATGAGCTCATATGTTATGATAGACCATTTGCATTCTATTGATGTGAATTGGTGGTGGAAACTGTTGAATATTGTTTTAAATTTTGTTTTTATTAACTTTGAAGTTAATTCGTGAATTGAAACACATGATATCTACACTCGTTACCGACATTGGTGGCAAGTTCCCTGTACATTGATGGTTTTTGGGTACTGGCCTCCCACTTTTTTTTTATGATGAGGAAGAGATTATAATATAGTACGAAACGGAAAAATATAAGACAATCAAGAAAAATAATAAGAAAATCAATGCTCTACCATGCCCCTTCTCATTTGTTGAGTTCATACATGTTTATATATGTACTTAAACATGTAAAGGTATATATTGAAACACCTCAACTTAGGAACTTGATTAGTTGATCTAAGTTATTGGGATAGTGCCTTTGGATGACAACTTAATGCTGTGACTTTTGGCCAAGAAAATAGTGGTATATTGAACATTGAGGGGGAGGGGGGCACTTGCCCCCTGGTCCTCATGTGGCTCCCCCCTGTTGATGACTAACCAAGCTGTCAAAGGCCAGGAGTTGTGCAACAAACCTGAAAGACAAACTAAATCGAGATAAGTTTTACTTAAGATCCTTTTATTCAATTTATGTTCTTCAAAAAGATAAAATGAACAGATTTTCTGAAGAACAAGTTGACCAAAAACCAGCAAGGTTGCAATTCCTTGTTTCACTTTCATTCTGGCTCCATTGAGAATTAGAATAGGAGCTAGCTAAATGTTTTCACATATTTTATAAGCTATTGTAGGCTAAGATTGATTGATAGCTAGAAAGCGTAGTAAGTGTTACAAACTCTCTTAAATAGGAAGTTAATGAAAGAAATCTACTTGATCAGAAATTAAAGTAGGATAAGATAGGGAAGTAAAGAATTGTCATAAAATTAGATTTCTTAATTATGATAAACTAGTAACATAGACTTAAGATCTATTGTGACTCTGGGTAAACTCAAACACACACACACACACACAAACATCACATTTAGGACATGCTATTGGCATTTATCTTAGCTTCTTGTACTCCACATATTTGAGTTCTAGAGAAGCCAAAAAGCACATGAGAAGTGGATCATAGGATGCTAACATGGAGTGCCAATGGGGCAATCACATGCACGCGGACACTTGCAAATTAGTCTTAAACTTATTAGCTGTGATATGAATTAAACTCAACATTCAGCTTAAGTGGAGTGGTCCTCCATTCTGTTTTACAGAAGATAGCGGATCACAAATTTAGAGTTTAGAATCTTACTACAATAACTCTAAGAGCAAGTAGTTTTATTTTAGATCTCAGTTTTCTTCCTTCTTCCTTCTTTTTACGTAGAAAAGTCAGTGTGAAAATTGTTATAATTCTTTCCACTTTAATCTGAAGAGGACGTGCCCTCAAGCCAGCTTTGACCGTAAGTAACTCCTTTTGCTCAATTTGCTAAGTAAAGTAGTGGATTCAATCCTCAGACTAGTTATGATGATAACTATAGTTATCTGGTATTACTATTATTATTACTGTTCTGCTTTCTTTTTTTCTTTTTTTTTTGGTGATGAGAGGTAATATAGTTTGACTTGTTCTCCCCCCCCCCCCCCCCCAATATAGAAAGTAAGGGCTAGATGACAATACAGTTGACTTTATTGGCCATGCATTGGCACTCCATACAGATGATAGTTACTTGGACCAGCCTGCCATGGATTTTGTGAAGAGAGTTAAGGTGAAACATTTGGTTCCTACTAAAGTTATTTGTTTTATTTTTCTTAGTGTCTCCATTTTGAAGATCTTGGAATGATTTTTACCCTTTATACACCAATGTTGTGTTTGATCCGTTCAATGCTCTACTGTTTTCTGTGTTTCATTTCATATGGTAGTAAATGTTGTCTCAACTACAAACAACTGTCATTTCATATGGTGGTTTAAAGGAACATGGGTCCTATGTTACATTCCATTCTATCAATGGCCATAATCTTAGTTAAAGCACAAGATAACAGGTCTTTCTTTTTAATCTCAATCCTAGTTAATTTAATTTGACAAGGTAATACGAGTTGGGAGCAGCTCCTCTCTCCTTGTTTTCCCTCCTTCAAATTGATGTGAACAGTGAGTGAGGTTTTCCTTTTTGCATATTCTGTTTACAGCAGTCAGTGTAATGACCAGCTAATTTACGTCACCTTTGTTTTTGAAAAGCTATATGCAAAATCTTTAGCTCACTTCCAGGGAGGATCTCCTTGTATTATCCACTGTATGGGCTTGGAGAACTACCTCAGGTGTGTTGTCATTGGAATTGCAAGAACCTTTTAGGGGCTATATAATTTATTCTCAACTTTCTTTAACATTATTTACAGGCATTTGCTCGTTTGAGTGCCGTCTATGGTGGAACTTACATGCTCAACAAGCCAGAATGCAAGGTAAACTTTTATGATTCTCTGATATCCTTGAAACCATATAAATAGCCTTGTTGAGCCCAAGTGTTTTTTACTGGGTTGAAGGGCTAAAGCCAGCACCAAGTGAGTGATTCTTTCAACTGGAAAGGGAAAAAATGGATCGTTTGGCTAATGCCAAAGATTAAATAAATTCTTTAATTTCCTGATGAGCAATCGTAAGTTGAAACTGATAGTTTCATTATCTTTAAATGATTCCCAACAATCAACTTGATTTTCCTTGAATTCTTCAGAAAACACAGTTCAAGGTCAACAATAGAGTGTTGGATGAGACTCTGTTTTTTTATACATATATTTTAGCAACGCATGTAGGTGGTTCATAGAGCTATTATTTGCCTTTGGTGTTCCATATAGCTGGGTTACAGTGCATTAAGTAGGCAGGGTGAGCAATGAGCATATAAATTGTTTGGGTTAATTACAATTTACCCCCTTGTAGTTTTATCCAAAAACACTATACCCCTATCAGGTTTAAAAGTATATGCATAATCTCCTTGGTTCTTGTTGTCATTAGTGCTAGTGATACATGATATTTCTGCAATCTTTTTGGCATCCTCTGTTATCCGTGTTGCTTATCATCAAGGATCACCTCAACTCTTTGAAGTTTTGGATTGTTATAAAATAAAATTATTTATTTATGAGTTTAGATGTAATTGATAATATGTTAATGTTTTCCTTGTTTATTTTCTTTGCAGATTGGTTTTTAATGACGTTTGGAAGCATACTTGCAAATGAAGATCAACTGTTGAATTTTTTTCTTGGACTGATACTTAGTTCTAGTTGTAAATCAAGATTGAGTGTTATTTTATTTTTTTTGTTTTTTTTGTACTCCCTGTTAGTTCATTTTGAAATTTGTTATGATGTTTTTTTATTTATTATACTTAATGGATTATTATTAAATTTGTTTGATGGATATATTTTCATTTATAATATAAATTGTTTAGTGAATTTTTTCTGTGGAGTGGTGTATAACAGCTAGTGGATTTCTTAGTACATTTAAAAGGCTATTGGATATGAGCAGGGATATTTGTGAAATAGTAATTTAAATTGAAATATAAAATATAGAACAAGTTTAGTGACGAATTTTTTTCGTCACTTGTTATTATGACAAATTGATTATTTGTCGCTAATAAGTATTTTTTGTGACAATTTATTGTAGTTTATATATGAAATATTTGGTTGATTTTGTTGTTTGGTGACTAAAAATTTTGTCACGCATATATATTTGTCACGAAATATTTTTCGTCACCTGTGTATGATTTTTGGAGATGAAAAATGTCGTCATCTTTACATTTTATTGTGACGAAATTATTTCCTCATCGATGATCAACGTGTGTGACAAATTTATTCACCAACTAAAATTATAAATACGGTATTGAATAATTATTTGGTGACGAAAATAAGAATTTTTGGTGACAAAATGTTTTGTTGGTGACAAAAAATTTCGTCACTAAAGTAATATCATTGGTGACGAAATTATTAATCGTCACGGTGCTTTTTAGTGACAAACATTCAATGACGAAACTGGTGACGAAAATATTTCCTCACAAATATATATAGTGACAAAGTTAGCTCTTTGGCGATAAAAAAAAATTGTCATTCAAGACCAAACTTGTTGTAGGAACTGTAGGGTTCATGCGGGAGGATTAGAAAATGTATTTACATGCAAAAAGACAGCGAAATTTGCAGTACGGTGAAGCAGGGAGTCTGTTAAGATATTTCTAGCAGCAAGTGGCAGAAAATCCATATTTTTACGATGCCAATCAGTAGGATGTAGATGAGATGATTACTAATATTTCTTAGGCTGATCATCAGATGATAACAGATTATGAGCTTTTCAGTGATACTGTGTCATTTGACACAACTTTTCGAACAAATAAGGAGTACTGTCCACTTGCTTTATTTTCTGGCTTTAACCACTTTAAAATGACAATGATTTTTGGTGCAGCATTATTGTATGATGAAACTGCAAAGTCATTTGAATGGTTATTTGAAACTTTTTTGGATGCAATGCCAGGAAAAAAGCTTATTAGTTTTTTCACAAACCAAGATCAAGCAATGACTAAGGGAATTTCACAAATCATGCCTGACGTTTTTCATGGGTTGTGCACTTTTCACCTAATGCAAAATGCTTTAAGCATTTAGGTTATTTGTTCAAGAGTGGTTCAAAATTTAGTAGCGATTTAAAAGCTTGCATTTATGACTACGAGAATGAGCATAAATTAATTGAAGCTTGGAATTTTTTGATTGATAAATACAACTTGCAAGAGAATGAGTGGATGAAAATAACTTGGAGAAAAAGAGAGCAATGGGCGCACATGTATATGAAGTGGATATTTATCGGAGGAATGCAAAGCACACAACTTAGTGAAAGTCTGAATGGAGCATTAAGGGGATATTTGAAAAGGTGATCATAACATTGTTCAATTCTTTATTCACTTCAATCAGATTGTTGTAGATAAGCGGAATGAGGAAGTTTCTGCAATATATGATTCTCGACAAAAGTTGCCTAGAATGAAATTGAAAAAGTCTCCCATTTTAATCCAGGTTGCGAATTTGTACCACCCCCTCCCTATCTTTGACTTATTTTATTATGAGTTGGATACATCCCTTTGTTGTCAAGTGAAGCAATTCCATGAGTTAGAAAGAGAAGTTAAGTGCGTGATTGACTTGTATGGTAATGATGAAGAGTATATTGTGGAGGGTAGGGTGGATGTTATTGGGCTAAGAGAGAAAAAAGTTGTCAAGAAATGCATTGTACTTGTAAGAAATTTGAGAACTTTGGAATTTTATATAGTCACGCAATTAAAGCACATGATAGAATGAACTTTATGGAAATTCCCGAAAGATATATATTAGGCCGATAGAGATTGGATGCAAAAGATTGCGAAGTTGAAGAGGAAAATGTTATAGTGGATGACGATGATCCGAAATTGTTAATATTTGCATGTTATAGAGATCTTTGTCCAAGAATGGTGAAACTAGCAACTCAATCATTTGTGCACAAACCTGCCTATCAATTGGTTGATAAAGGGATTAGGGAATTGCGTGTAAAAGTGAATAATATGATGAAGGGAGTTGGAAATTTTGGTACCAAAGAATTAAATGTGGATGACCCCAACTTTACACAAGTTAAAGGCATAAAGAAGAAAGATGTTGGATACAAGGGGAGGGGTAGATTAAAACCTTGGCATGAGATGATGAATAAGAAGGCAAAAGTTATTTCACAACCTGCCTTAGTAAGGTATTACTTACGTACTTTTGAAATTTGAAATGACATGCATTTATTTTTATAAATTGTGTAAAGTATTGATAACTTTTTGAACTTCTTTAGACTATTGGTCAATCAAGCAACACTACAAATGTTCAAAATTCATCTTTAAGCCAACCACACATTAGCTATTGTTTTATGTTATTTATTTATTATTATTTTTTTTATAAATTGTGTAATATATTGATACATTCTACAACCTCTTTAGACTATTAGTCAATCAAGCAACACTACAAATGTTCAAAATTCATCTTCAAGACAATCATTGATTAGCTATTGTTTGATGTTTATTTATTTATGTATTTTTATAAATTGTGTAATGTATTGATAAATTTTACAACTTATTTAGACTATTGGTCAATCAAGCAATACCACAAATGTTCAAAATTCATCTTTAAACCAACCACAGGTTAGCTCTTGTTTTATGTTATTTGTTTATTTTTTCCACTATGTTGTGCTAGTGTATTTACTTTTCACAATGTTTTATGGAGTAGGATGTTGGGAGTCTCTATTGGCCACAATTGATAAATTATGGGTATAATCTTCTCATACATGATACTAATTCATACTCGCCAGGTATCCACAATCACAACCTTTGCCTTTCCAAGCATCACATAGTCCACAAAGTTCTAAAGTAAGTAATATATGTAAGTTTGTAATGTAATTTAGTCCATAAAATTTATTCTAATGCATTTTCTTTTCTTTTTTTTAGGGAATATCACTTAATCTAGCGGGGCACAATTCAATGGAGACCGAACCCTTCTTTAGAAATGAGAGTTCTTTTGATTTTTCTATTTATTCTAAACCGCCTCACAAAATTGGCATGGGGATCCACTTTTTAGTTTTTGTTTTGAGAATTGAAATTAAAGGTTTTTAGAATTTTGTTTGGATGATTTAGAATGGTTGAGATATGTTTTGGGATATTTGGCAGGAGATTTTGAAGTTTCGATGCCTCATAATTTATTTTTTTATTTTTATTTTTTTTTATATAGATGTTGGATGTGAATTGAATATATATGGCCCTTAAGTTGGTTTTTATTTATTATTTATTTTTATACAGCTACTTTTTTTTTTTTGAAGTTGCATTTTTTTACTTTTGGTTTGATAAATTGATTTGTTCAATTACAATTTTTTTTTCCCTTTCAATTTCACTTTTGATGCATTTAAGCGAGTTTTGAAACAGTCAAAACATGTATGGTTTGTTTGATTTTAATTTTAAAATTAATTTTTTTAAAACAATACAATTTAGTTTGATAAATTGATTTGTCCGATGAATTATTTTATTTTATCATATTTTGTACTTAAAAAATACAAAATTTTCACGCCGTGCGTAGCACAAATTTTTTGCTAGTATAAACCTCACAATAAAAGGCAAAATGGGTTACAAACTCTACATCATCCCATATCACTTTAGCATAACGCTTAATACCTAATTGACACCCCTTCACCCTACAAGAATTAATGTAACCCTCATCAAAAAAAAAAAACAAAAAAGAAAAAGAAAAATGGTGCCGTGTCATAGCATGGCAGGCACGACAAAGAGATAAGAACTGCACAGGGAGCAAGGAATGATGGACTGCAGTGACCCCTTGTCCGGATATGGAAGATTCTTCATGGATGAAAAGGGAATGTCCGTTAATGACAATTTGAGCAAGATTTTTTTTTTTTTGATCGGCAAAAGAAAGAAACTTTATTGATGGAATAAATTAGTACAAAGCAAAAAGCAAATTACATCAATAAAGAAAAGGGAAATGCAAAAACATCACAATGAGCAAAATCATCCCAACAAAGTTGGCACCAAAAAGCTCATCCTATCATTTGCTAGCACCCCCAGAGTTGGTGAGAGACCAACCAACACAACAACAACATATTGCAGACCAGCAGTCCAGCATACAGCCCAGCCACCCAATCACAACAACACAACAACAATAATCAGCAACAGCAACAGGTAGACATCTAAGCAGAGCGGACCAACATCAAGCCATACAGCCATTCGTCCACCCAACACAGACATTCAAACATTCATCTAGGACAAACAACAGGTAGGCACCTAAGCATAGCAGTCCACCATCAAGAAGCAAAACCCCCAGAAAGGAGACCATCACAGCAGCAAAACAAAATAAGACCTAAGTTCAACAAAATAAGACCCGTTGCAAAAACCCCCAGGCAGCAGAGCATAGCAGACCAGCACCACACTAGCTCCACACCATGGTGACAATCTTATATCCTCCATCTTTATGCAATGACCTTAATTGATGATAGTAATGAGGAATTAGGATTGTTGCATACTGATCTGGATTATATAGGCTGCTTGTGGGATAATACCCATCTGCCAACTCCAAGCAGCTTAAACTCTCTACTGCCTAACCAAAGCCAAATGAAACTTCATGCAGGCAGCCTTATACATCAGTACACCTAAGTTCTTTCTGCCCAAAACATCATCTCATTCCAAGTCTCACCCAGCCATCAACCTTATAAAACAAAAACCTAACCTTAGACACAATCCTTTACCACAAAACACCAACAGCATCATCATATTTCAGCAAAGCATCACACAACACCATAAACTTCCATATCTGATACAAAAACTTCACCTAAACAGAACAGCAAAAAACCACCAGCATAGCAGGCATCAACA